CCACAGGATCTTGTGTGAGCGCACTACCGCGTCCGCCTTGTGTTCCACTCGGGTTAATTGAAGTCCTCATGGTGTGAAAGTGTTAGTCGCATCAGTCGCCCCCGGCCAGGGTGACAGACTGCCCTAATGACTTCTTTCAGCAGAATAGTCCTGATTTCCATCCCTTTCCCTTCCGTCTCTTCGTGTGGAACCCTGAGACACGTGGGCGGAGAAGTGGATCGGTTAACTCATCCGCCTAGCGAATTGAAAATATTTGCTTCGTTTCACTTTTCTGTTCCCGACCTCTAATGAAACGGTACTTGAACCTGCCAGCCAGACCTTGTCGCTGTGTAAGGTTGGAGGTCAGCATTGCCTACGGGAATCAATTTAACGGTTTGCATGTATATGTCCCTCTATTTTACTGTGCCTATTCCACATAAACCTAACTAAGCTGTTTGTTTTCAAACACCGATCTCGTCATTTCTCATTCTGGTGTCCACCGGTATTCCAGAATTCAGTTCTTCCTCAAATTCGCATTCTTGTTATGCGGCAACACGTAGGAATTGAAAAGTCGGAGTGGCAGTTGTCGGTGGTAATAAAGCCAATCGTTTTCTCAGGTTACATGCATACACATAACTTCTGGCAGGAGTTTAAGTTTTAGTGCTCTTAGTCTGAACCTAGTTAGGTTCTTTGCGTTTTGTACAGGCGGGTTTACTAATTTTTTTTGGCTTCCAACTTTTCATTTATTTCGTTTATAATTCTTTACTTAGACAGTTATTTTTTGCGATCTCAAGTCATCTGGATTAAACGATTACTATTCAACCAGCATGCCTGAGATCCTTAGCTGTTTTACTCGTCTTCATGTTCTCGGATCCTGAACGACTTTTTTCTTTGCAGTTGTACACCTGCTTCGAGGACTCCAACTACGTGTACCTGGTTCTCGAGGTGTGCCACAATGGTGAGCTGCAGGCCTACATCAGACAAAACGGTCCTGTTTCAGAGGATGTTGGTAAGTTGCCCTCTATGCGAATCTATTTACCCCGTCTCATTGACTTGGAAGGTTCCTTGATATAGACCTGGGATGATGTGGCGACTCCACTGCCTCTCTGGGTGGTCATCTCCACTAGTTCTTTCCTTCCGTTGATGATCCCATGTCGGGCTAAGTGGCAACCCAAACCGCTAGGCTTTTAAACGTGACTGTCTAGCGAACATTTTCTAAATTCCGCTTTTGTCGAATGAAGTAAGCGTCTGCCGTTTACATGCTAAGTCTGTTAACAAAATACAGCTAAATTACTGAATAGAAGACCTTCTGAGCTAAATTATAAGTTATGCCATCGGAGCAAAGTGGATGAAGGTGCAAAGAGTGCGTCGAAAGTCTGCTTCATTCTACTCTAGTTCACTCGCAGGTCACCAGTGCTGCGCCCACTCAATGGATCATGCGATAGACGTCATCGCTCCCCACGTTCGAACCGTTAACGGAAGGCTGGTTTTCTTTAGTCCCTGCATTCGAAAGTTGGTGGCTACATTCACCCCTGCGAAAATTGGGTTGATGATTCCAGAATTTGGCCTGATGGCGAGTAAGACCCAATGCAATGCTATGCAACATGGCTATCGCTGATTAGTACTCTACGTGTAACCGATCTGCCAAATCAATGTCAAGCCACACCCGAAGATAACACGGCTGCCTGATCAGCATGCTCGGTAGCCCACTTAATTCGTATCCAGCCTTCGTTGAAGGACTTTCGCTATGCGCCACCTGTTTGCGCACCGAATAGCCTGTCACCAGACTACCAGGCAGGTCCTGTCTTCCTGGGATTCCTATTATCCCGGATTATCGTTTGTGATCACTAATCTGTCGGGTCATGTTAGCGATTGTCACCCTGTTATTTAGGATGTTGCCTATGTCTTCCGCCGTAATGCCACTCGTCACTCTCGGAATAATTAGCTGGCGAGCCAAAATGTTGACTTACTTCGTGTGAACTAATGTCATCTCCGTAATGGGAACCGTAGTCTTGGATAGTCTTCCGGTGAATACGTCTATGGCCACCTCTCAGTGTATCGTCACCTTTCGATTTATTGTTCTTGCGTTCTTTTGTGTCGTTCTTACAACTTTGACGAAAACCAGGCGTTGCCTTTGCTTTCCACTTTTGTTTGTGTCCAATTTAGATGCCCTCTGTTCAGCAAAACTTGAATGCTCCTTTTAGCGCGACACTACATGAAACAAATCATCAGCGGACTTCTGTATCTTCATTCGCACAACATCCTTCACCGAGACCTCACCTTGGCGAACATTCTGTTGACAAAGGATATGAAAGTCGTGAGTTCCCATTCCTTACTAGACTCTATTTTCTCAAGCTGGTTCTGAATTGCTTCCAAACTCACTCTGACTGCTATTCTTATAAACTTGCAGAAAATCGCGGATTTCGGCTTGGCTACCAAAATCGAACCGGGAGAAGAGCATACTACAATGTGTGGCACGCCCAACTATATCTCACCGTGAGTTGCTTTTGACTATCCTCCCTTTTTACCCACGGTTTTTTTTTTTAATTTCTTCTTGTTTGACTCCTATCTATTTCTTGATCATCGCGTAAATTGATGAAGAGTCATTGTTGCATTTGCGGCAACCCAAAAGCCAGTTTTTACCACTCACCAGTAGCGAAATAATCTCTGAATTTTTCGTGTGTTAATGAAGTATCGCATCAACTGGTGGACGCCAGCTGAGTCCGCCAACCTGCCGTAAGCTGAGTTAGAGGTGGGAACCAGACCCCAAAGTCTGTCAGAGAATAGAGGGGAGAGGGGTATATATAATCGCTGAAACCAAGACTGAGCTGGACACTAGCATACAGACCCCGTAATACAGGGAGTCGTGCGTTAGATTCTAGGGGGATTAGGGTTCGGGTAAGGGTGCGGACATAGATACCCTTCCCCGAATTAACCTCAAGGCCACCTGTATCCCTAGGCTTGTTTTGTCCCTACTCCCGCGTCTTACCCAGGGTTGTCTTTAAATCCAGTTTGTTCCGTTACTCCTGCATTATTCCAGCTTGCAAAGTCAGCATAAGTGGGTTCTTACAAAATATACTGACTGCCGCCCTGATTAAGTTCCGTGCCGTAAAGAAAATCGTTAATTGCACACCGAGCTAGTCCACATGGCCACCTGGGGAACAGGAACCCTCCCCCTCCTTCGCCAAGATTTCTCCCACCACTGCAACTGAAATTGCATTTCGGCCGTGGTCACCAGCCTTAGTCGCTCTCAGTAACTTAACGCCAGTGTCCGAAAGTGTGGCTAGACTGTGGCTGGTCTGTTCATAAAGCCCTGGTTACTAAGAGATAGCATCAAGTGGAACGGAACGGAAGGGAGAGACAGAGTGAGCGTGCATGAGTAGGAGTGCTAGGAGGGCGGAAACAGACACTGTCCTTACGCGCTGTTCAACATTGTTTTTTTCAGCGAGGTGGCAAGTCGTGGTCAGCAGATCCTGGAGACAGACGTCTGGTCCCTGGGCTGTATGCTGTACACCCTTGTTGTCGGCCGGCCACCCTTCGACACACGCGAGGTACGCAGCACCCTGAATCGTGTCCTTGCAGTCGACTACGAGCTGCCCAGTCGGCTCTCTCCCGACGTGACTGATCTCATCTCCGGGCTGTTGCGCCGTCTGCCGCAGGATCGCATCAAATTGACCGCCATGCTCAAACATCCCTTCATGACCAAGAGCTCGGCTAATCGTCACAAAGTAGTGAGTTTGATTTTCGCCATTCTTGCCTCTCTGGTGTTTTCGCTTTTGTCTGCTCTGTGGTTTAGGGGCATCTGTTTGCAACTGTCAATCAGAGTGGACGCTCGCAGCAGGAAAGAAAGTGGAAGCATTCTAAGTGATGACTTTTCACTTGCGTGCTATTTCCTTTTTTATACGTCTGATTGTCCTGTAGGTAGGAGGACTTATGAAGGGAATTTCCCATAGGACGTTGATTGTCCATTTAATTGCCTGAATGCCTTTTACTTTTCGACTCCTAACGTACCTTTGACTGATGGT